TTTTTTTTAAAAAGAACAATTAGTTTGGGAAATGGGATAAATTTATAATGACAGAAATCAAATTTTAAAAGGAATTATTTTGAGTTTTTTCTAGTGATCGATTGCTAAGAGACATTCTGGGGTTTCATTAAAACAGAAGAAGAAGAAGAAGAAATTTCAGCCTATGCAAAACTCAAAAGAAAGAGTAAATTATTTCACTTGCCTGTGCTTTGGTATCTACACTGCAGATGCATGTCCCTTTTTGAACATTCCATATCTTAATACGCCCATCTGCTGTGCCTCCGCCAGAGGCAAGTACATTAAATTGGTATGGGCACCATGCAAGGGCCTTGACTGCGGCACTATGTTCATTAAACCGGTACAAGAATTTGGACGAACTCATTTTGGAAGGCTCCCATATGTATACCAGATTATCATTACCACCGCTTGCCAGAACATTGCCTTCTGTAGACCATTTAACTCCACACACTTCTTCAGTGTGCGCTATTATGCATGAAGTCACATTGTTTGACACTCTAACTGCCAATGAAAGCATGAGAAATATAATAAAAGTCAGTATCTGAATGAATAGAAATTACAATAGTTGAAGATGAAAAGAATGTGGATTTCCTTTAAAGATATGATGAAATTCGAGTACCATCATGATTGATAATGGATTTATCTAGGCCTGCTGATGTTAAAATGTGACCATTCCATTGGTTCCATGACACAGTTGTTACTCTTCTAAGGTGACCTTCGAGGTTCCTAACCTGCATTTCAAAAAATAAGTTTTAACACATTACGAGCCCAGAACAACTGATTGACATGACGGCAGAAAGAGTGACTGAAGAGAGGAGAGGTTTACAAGTTTTGAGGTCTCGGCATCCCAGATCTGAATTTCGGAGCCCATATATCCAACAGCCAGATTTCTAGCATCCTGAGACCAGACCAAACTTGTCGGGTAATTTTCCTCCCCAAGAGATTCTGACAACTTTTGAACATCTCCATTCTCCGATTTCCAAAGATATAGCACCGAGCCCAAAGCAATAGCAAGCATGTTGTTTTTCCCCCAATCCATGATGTTCAGATAAAAATCATTCCTTAGATTAGGTGCATCCAGGATCTTAGCTTCTTTCTACAAACACCATTAATCAAATTATCTAAGTAAGCAGCATAAAATTCATGTCATTAAGTACAAAGTAAGGACCCAAAATGCAAAGGATAGTTGAGAGTAATTTTTTTTTCTTTCTTTGTTTCCCATTTATTTCAAAAAAATAAAATAAAAACCTGTTCAGAAAAGTTGAATCCGAAAATTATTCAGAAAGCATATTGATAGATCTCGGTGATCAAAACAACTGGCTGGTTACTGTTATCTCTATAACAATAATCGATTAGAAGAGGTTCAAAACTGAGACTAGTTACCTTGGGCATGCCTCGATGTTGATATAGCTGGGTACTATTTCGCAGTGCCTCGGCATCTTCCCTTCTCATCTCATCAATAAGACGGTTGGACTTTCTACTTGATTTTGGACTTCCCCTGAAAACCAACATTTTAAACGGTCTGCCTTCTGAATCCAAAGTCAGATTATCCTCCAGATTCTGTCTATATGCATCCTGTTAACAGAAATATAATACAGAATCATAAACCTTAACCCTGAATGTAATTCTGTTTTTTGAATGTCAACACATCATTTATTGACAACCTAAAAGCCCAGTACAAATTTCTACCTATTTTTCATGCCACAAACTAGAATCCCTAACACAATCAATGTAACACAACGGAAATATTATTATAATTTTTTACCGGAAAAATAAAACCTGAATTTCCCTCAAATCTGAATCTCAACAAAAGTCAATAGTTATTCATGAATTTCCCCCCCAATTTTAAAAAAAAAATAATAATAATCCGAAAACCAAACACAATAGAAACACCTACACCCAGGGAACAACATATCTACTGATAAACTAATTATATCACAAGTGAAACTAAAAAAACAGCAACAACAGTGAAATAAAGAAAGAAAATTACATTGAATTTTGGATTTTGGCATCGCTTAATTGTTTTGTTGGTCAACAAAGCGTGAGCTTGATCAAGATTCATCAAACTTCTGTTGGGTATAAAGCGATCTCCCTTTCGCAAATAACCAAAAGGCCAAAGAACAAGAAAACAATAAAATTTTGAATAAAAAAGTAATAAATAAAAGATTCTTGAAGAAATTAGAACAAAGAAAGATTGGAATATGGTTGTTTTGTACCGGAAAATCGAAATCGGTGGGGCTACTGAGGAGTCTTCGAGGAGAGTACCAATCTGTTTCAACGAGTCTGTGTAGTCTCGTTTGATGATCCATGGAGAGACAGAAACCAGGAACGCAAGCTCAAATTCTTGCTTTTCTTCTTGTTCAAGTAACCATTCGGTTTTCTCCCGCCAAAGAGCTAACCGACTAACCGTTGTATTTCATATTTTATAACGTTCAAGAATCGGCGCAATAGTGCTTTCTAGTTGGCCCGAATTTTATTTAATTTCGACTCGGGTCGGGATATGTTAACCTTCAAATTTCATTATAAAAACCTTTATTTTAGTAAGTAATTGACAAGGGCAATTCCCTTACTTTTTTTTTTTTTTTTTTAATTTAAAATGTACATGTTTTGAATTAAATTTCACTAATAAAGAAATTACTAGAAAAGTTGGTCACATATAATGTGTAACAAATAATCTAATGGTTAAATAAAAACTGATCATATATAATGTATAACAAGTAATCTAACGGTTAAGTGTACACGATAATACATTATCCCATCAATGCAATAGTTGGTATTATAATAATCTCTCAAGGCCCTATACGAATATTATGTTGAGGACAATGCCACAATCATGAATATTAATTTGCTTATGATGGAGCATAATAAGTTAACTAGCTCCAAAATAATTTAAATAATAAATCCTATATCTCTATGCTAGCTGAATATCCATTGATTTCCAAGATTGAAACATCACTTTTTAATGCTCATTGAAGGCTCTACATGATCTTCTAATCTCTCCTTGACTACCAGTAAGAACCTCAATAGCTCCAAGTTTAACCATGGCAGCGCCGAACCGGGACGGGAAATCAAACCCTTTGGTGGCTAAGGTCATCACTGTACCCCTTGTTAATGGGTGTAATGCTAACTCTTGATCAATCGGAAGAATGCCTCTCTTTAACAATAACCGCTGATAGTATGAGTTGTCCATGAATGGATTCTGATCAAGATTAACTATATTGTTTGTCGGTGTGTTTTGAGGACAGCGAAGTCTGAGTAAATTTAGAAGAAAAGGATCCATGGTTGGATCAGGTCTGCCGGTGTTTCTGAAATTGTAAAGGCGATCTTTTAAGAGTGAGCAATGAACTACTCCAACAGAGTGAGCACCTGCATCACAAAGTTCATGACAAATATCAGTGTATGTTATACATGAATATTGATGTGGGTAAAAGAATTATGTACCTAGAAGAAGAACCATGTCAGTCGGAGTGAGGCCTTTGTTAGCGAATAAGGCGATGGAGTGAGAGACTGAAGCTAAAGGTGGTGGGAGAAAGAGAGACACATTTTGAGGTAGAGAGACTAAACCATCTCTTCTTCCTGTTTGCACTTCATATCTTACTCCTAAACTCTGCAATTAATTCAATTGCTATTACAAATCGTTAACTGCACTAAAAATAAATAATATTGTGTTAATTGTGCAGGATTGAATTGAAGAGGGAGTGATTACCAAGAAAACAGCATCTCTAGTAGCAATTATAATAAGATCAGCACAAGAGACCACCCCTAGGCAAATTCTATCAACAGCGGCCTTGGCGTCATCTATAATATTAAAACCTCTTACGCTCAGATTTGGAGGAGCTGTTTTCTCACTGTTGCTGCCGACTACCAGAATTGATGCATCACACCCCTTTTTCATCATCATTCCCACAAACATATTTATTTTATTAATTGATTATTGAGATCTAATAATGCATGTGACAATCAGGCATATGACCATATAAATGATCTATGATACTCATCATACTAAAATGCTTAAAATATATCCCACAGAAAAAGAGGAGAAAGAGGTAAAAGAAAATAGATACTGAAACTTATGCGTATCCACACAAAGAATGTTGTCAACCAATAAAGCATCTAAACTCTGAAGCTAGCGCTGTGTTGACTAACAGAAGTTGATGAGCTAATTTGTTAACACAGAGATTTAATTTTAATGAAATTACAGAAAGTGGAAGCTTACATTGACAAAGCAATCGTGATATTGCAAACGCAAGAGTGCAGCCACAGTAGTGGGATCTCTAACGAACCTTGCAGTGACGACGCCGGCCACTATGGCTTCAACATCTGCAATTCCACATTTCCCTCTGTAAAATCCTATCTGTAATGCACCTTCACACCAATCTCCCCATGCCCAGTTTGATAAAATGAATACCAAACTAGATGAAATCACAGCTGCTTTGCTCTTCATCTTCATCTTTTCTGTTATCTACAGAGTGGAGACATGATCATCTCGCTGATTTATTTTTGAGAGAAGTGGTTTCCTGTACAGATGGAAATTAGGAGAAAACTGATTTAACATTTCCTTATTTATATTATCATGTAAATTTTTTACTTAGGCATGATTCTCTTGTGCACTTTCAATTTGTTTAAACTTTAAACTTTAAAGAGGTCTTGCTCCGCAACCGAGTACCTAGAACAAAGTTTAGCCTGTCAAGAAATGTCCCACTTGGTTAATATAAAAATTATAAATTATGTGTTTTTATGCACCTTATGGTCTATTCCGAAAACCAAAATAACCTCTGACAGCCAGTACCTCACTTATTTCTACCCTGTTGAATGATCAAACACAAAACCTAGAAGGTGAAATAAATATTTACATACATAGATCGGCTTTTTAGTGGGTCATAATATCCTGAACATAAACTCAAAAGTAGTGGCAGAGAATTTTTAAATTCCCAGATAAAAATAATAGAGTTAGCAATAATTACAGCTAGCCGCAACCATTCCTAATGGAATTATTTTATACATGTACGTGGAATGATGGGCCGGTAAAACAGAAGACGAAGGATCATCTTTTCAATTATACAACTCAGCGTACACAATAGCATCAGCAAAACCATGCAAATCAGAGGATGCATTCTGATTACTCACATCAATTAATGCCGGGTTGATCAGACCCAGGAAATATGATGGCGGCTTATACAAGCCATCAACACCTTGGCCGCAGGTTGCCCAATTACCCTGTCAGTATAAGCTGCATCCCCGACACTATGCCATCCATAATTTGATGAAACACTGCCACACATCATTTGCCCAACCGTGTCCTCTTAACTTCTCTCTATGAACACCACCAAACGAACATGCGGTGGAGGGGAGGACACTACTTCCAGAAGACAAGCCAACTTCAACTCCAACTGCACGCATAGTGCCTCCACTTGCTACCGTAGTGCCAAGGGCATCAGGCAAAGGCCTTGCTTCATATCCGTGCGATGCAGCTGAGGCAGCAAGATGATTATTGAAGTAGCTGGAGAAACCGCCTTAAGTGCTGCACATGCTCCTCTTGGGTTTTGCTATACACCACTATGTCGTCCAAGTAGACGACCACGAACTGGTTGCGGTAGAGATGGAATATCTTGTTCATCAAAGTGTAAAAAGTGGCTAGTGCATTTGTTAGACCAAATGGCATAACCAAGAATTCATAAGACCCATACCTTGTAACACATGTAGTTTTCGGCTCATCCCCTTCGGCTATGCGCACTTGGTAGTAAGCTGACCGTAGATCCAATTGGGTGAAGTAGTGGGCATGCTTCAGCTAATCGAAAAGATCGACAATCAAAGGAATAGGACAACTATTTTTCACGATTACCTTGTTGAGTGCTCAATAGTCTATGCACATGCGCAAGGAACCATCCTTCTTTCTTTTAAATAAGATTGGTGCGCCATAGGGAGCTTTGGAGGGCCTGATAAACCCTGCATCTAGTAGTTCCCGTAACTGCTTCCTTAGTTCTGCTAGCTCTAGTGGTGCCATGCAATAAGGACTCCTGGTAGGTGGCTTGACACCTAGTTCCAGCTCAATTTGGTGGTCTACCTCCCTTCTAGATGGTAATTCCTTTGGCAGCTCATTTGGTGAGACATCAGCGAACTCCTTGAGTACTTTTGCTACCTCCTGTGGCCCTGACTCTGGTGGGCTTGGCTCCTCATCGTCATAGTGCTTGAGCATGGCCAAGTAGCTTTCCTCTTTCTTCTTGATGCCTTTCTTGAACTACACGATCGCCAGTACGGTCGTCTCCGGCTTGGTAGAGTGGTTAGTGGACAATACACAAGCTTGCTCCCCGTCCATGATGCATATGGTATTGGCGGAAGGCATGGGAAATGCCTTGACTTGATCCATAAACTCTAACCCAAGGACAACCTGGTAGTCATCTATTGGAGTGACTAAGAAGTCTATGTAATCGGACCAAGTCCCCATAGTGGCTTTGACTCGTTCAGCTACTCTATGGATTGGTTGCGCCACTAAGTTAACTGCCTTGATGGTGCCCTCACCTCTTGAGGCTTTAAGGCCTAGTCGGTGTGCTTCACTCACTGAAACAAAGTTGTGCGAAGCCCTCGTATCTACCATGGTTTTCGTGGCCTTCCCATTGATGGCATTATCAACCTAAAGAAACCCTTTAGCTTGGGTTTTTGGTGCCGATTGGATCCCATTGAATAGCTACATCGATCCCATATGTGCCCTATTACTACTGCTTTTGGCTTAATTACCCTCTTGATGCTTAACTATGAGGGAAGTAAGAGCTTTCTTCTCTGGACAATTTTTCACCCAATAAGGTCCATTACAAATGAAGCGAATGTTGTGGGGTTTGTTGGAGTTCTTGTCCCAACGTTTGCCATTGTCCTTGCCTTTGGATGAGGTGTTGTCCTAGTGGGTGTCCCAACTATTCTCTTTGGATTGCCAAATGTCTCCCACACCTTTAGCAAAGCCGCCATTCTTATCTTTGGGTTTCCTTGTGGATTCTTTTGAGCCATTATAGTCTATCAAGCTTTCTACAAACACAATGGCTGTGGCAAGGTCTTGGACTCCTCGGCGCCTCAGCTCTGTTTTCACCCACGATTGCAACCCATCCATAAAGTTGAAGAGCGAGTCTTTGTCGAACATATCAGGGATCTCCAATATCAAGTAGGTGAAGTCATTAATATAGTCAAAGAAAATCATGTTTGCTTGAGCCTTCGCAAACATGCTCTTGCCTCATCCTCGTTATTCTCCGAAAAAAATTGTTGCTTAAGCTCTCTCTTGAAGTCATCAAAGCTCGAGATGGTGCACATACCTTTCTCGATGTCTCTTTTTCTTCTCCTCCACCATAACCTCGCGATGTCAGTGAGATAGAGGATTGTAGTTTCTATGTTGGAGATCTCCTCCGTGACACCTACAGCCTGAAAATACTTGTCTAGTCCCCACAAGAAGTTGTCAACTTCATGCGCCTTGCATGAGCCACCAAAGCTTTTAAGCTTTGGAACATCAATCCTCTGGCTTTCAATGGCGCTGCTATTAGGCCTTGCAACTACTACGCACTTGCATCCCGCTATATCAGCTTGCACCTCATCTAAGCGAACAAGAGTGCTGTTGGTTTCAGTCTGGAACACATGACGTGTTTTAGCGAGCTCCCCTATGAACTCCTCACGGATTTTCCCCATCTTGGTCCTCAATTACTCTTCCAGTTGGACCATCATGGCCTTCACCACAGTATGGATTTTGGTAAACTCCGTCTCTAGATCATCCACCTGATGATCTAGCTTATCCAACTGTATGCTTATCCTTTCCTTCACACAAGATAGGCGTGAGTCAAGACTGGAAATAAAGTCTTTGGACTTAGCTCTCTACCTTAAGGAGTTGGGGTCGGGGTCGGGGTCGGGGTCGGGGTCGGGGTCGGGGTCGACTTTGTCCAGACAACCAAGTTATTGGGAAGTCTTAGTTTAGACGTCTTGGATCTCTTTGTTGCAGTGGCAGTATCTTTTGCCATTATATAACAATCGAGGTTATATTAACCAAAGCTCTGATACCACTTGTCACACCCTTTGTTTCTTTGGCTAAGTTCGTACGGCCTTAACACTGGGAGAAGGTGTTAAGCAGCCTTACACTCACACAAACTCAAAGACTAGAAGCAATGAAAATGAGTAGGATAAGAATGTAGAGAAAATTGTAAACTCTATATTGCTGAAAATTTGTATCCTACACTTTATGAATTGCACAAAGTGGAATGTCCTATTAATGGGCAAAACCACCTCAAGTAAATGTCTATGTACATTGAATGCTTTATGCCTAAGTTATGCTAGTTGGCAATCTTGAAATTAGTGATGTTTAACCATGAAGCTCCTTTGCTATGAAGTTTGCTTAACTATGAAGCTCATTTGTCATAAGTTTGCTTAACCATGAACTTGCTTAACATTGAAGCTCATTGGTGATGAAGTTCCTTCACCTTGAAAGTCCTTAGCCTTGAAGTAAGGATGGTTGCTTAGTTATGAAGGAGTTGATAACCTCCTTAGAGCTTTCTTCCCCATGAAGAACTCCTTAGCAGCTTGTAGGAAGCTATTGTGTCGGCTGCCCACAACATCATGTACGTTGCTCGAGTCGTCGAGCAGGCTGGTCGTGACATTATGCTACAATAACCAAATATATGGGCAGGAGAGGTAGTATTAATATTTTGGTAAAATCTATTATTGCTTCTGCGTTTTCTCCTTTATCTTCTAAAATTTGTTCCTTACTGCCAGTCTCAGTATTATCAAATCATGTTTCTAACGATAATCATCATATAGAGCGTAATTTTTTTTGTCATTCCTTAGACAAACTGATGAAACAAGCTGAGATTACTCAATCAATTCCACATTTAATCAATCACAACAATCTGAAATCAATCAAGGATCAAAATACAAACAAAGATCGACTTAATTGTAATTATGGTTGTATTAAGGATCTATGAATTGTACTACAATGAAAGTAAATGTAAAATAGTATTAAGAACATCAATAAAGAAATTAGCATAGGTTGATCTTCGAGGGTCAACTTCTCATAACAATTTCCACTATGTTTTCTATGATATCACACCTATTCTCTCTCATTTTCTTTTATTCCCTTGATTCTTTTGTTAACTAACTCTTCATGATTGTTGTATCGCTGCTCCACCTGTCATGCGTGGCTTTTCCCTTTCTGCCCCTTGCGGTTATACCATTTGATTGTCAGGGGTCCATCATTACCCTTTTCAAGGAGTGCCACCTTGTCCTCAAGGTGGAAAGAAGGGAATTGGCGACATATTGAGGCATAATCCTCCCAAGTGTTGTCACAATGGGGAAGCAATTTCCACTTGATCAATACTTCATAGCTACCATTGAGCAGGCAATGTATGCAAGGCCTGTTCAGGTTCAACTTGCAAAACCATCTCATCTGTGAGGATGTCGGGAAGGAGCTAGGCTACAAGGGGTGTG